CAGCCCTCATTGTTTGCCATGTTCAGAGAGTCCGGTTTTATCCCATACTTTCTCAGTCACAGTCCAGCTGGCCTTGGTGAGCTCCCAAGAGATCAGCCCCACTGTCTCAGTGGGTATGGGTATGGGGATGGGGGTAAGGGGAGATGGGGAGAGAAAAATGAGAAGGGGAAGATGGGGGGAACTTGGGGAAACAGGATGATTGGGATAAAGGAAGGTTGGATAGGGCAACAGGGAAGCACAAATCTTACTTAAGGGAGCCACCTTAGGGTTGGCAAGAGACTTGAACCTAGAGTGGCTCCCAGGAGCCCAAGGCTATGTCCCCAGTTAGTTCCTTGGACAGCTGAGGATAGGGAACCTGAAATGACCCTATCCTATAGCAATACTTGTAGGGATAAGTCCCGCCCCTAAGGGGGCGTGTTCACCTCGGGCTAATGTTTGCCTATAAATTTGGCGAGCGTGCTCCCAGCAGCTGCTTCTGCTTTCCTGGTCTCCGCTGGAACGGTGGTTCTGTAAGTCTATTTCTCCATTAAATCTATATATATATATTTACAATCTGTCTGCATTCGTTTACACTGTTACAAATACTGACGAATATCTTGCATATCACCATAGAACCTTCATCTGGTGATGGATGGAGATAGAGACAGAGACCCACACTGGGGCACCGGACTGAGCGCCCAAGGTCCCAATGAGGAGCAGAAGGAGGGAGAACATGAGCAAGGAAGTCAGGACCACAAGGGGTACAGATTTCTTTTTAAGAACAAATATAGGAGAATTGAAGGGATTGATTGATTCTTCTATATGGTGAACATCTATTTCTTGTACCAGCTGTTCTAAAGCCTGCAGCTTTTCTTCTGTTAGAGGCCACTGTTTAACCCATATTGGTTTCTCAATTAACCATTTTAAAGGCTGGGCCATTAGTGCCTCTCAAGGTTTGTAATTGTTTTGTGTTCTTGTAGAGCCTTAATGGCTGGTGACCATTGTCTATAATATCTTTCCCAGAAACATAAGTTTTTGGGGCTGTAGGCATATTAATCTGGGTATTCCATTGCTGCAATAGGTCATGACCCCACAATTTCACCGCAATATTAGCTACAAAAAGCCTTCCTGTCTGTACTTCTGGCCCTATGCATTCAATCCATTAGTGCTTTGTTTCACTTGAGATAGGGTTCCAATTCCTAGGAACTGAACATCTACCTCCAGAAGAGGCTAATTCGGATGCCAAGATTCTGTAGTAATGATACTTTCATCCACACCCATGTCTAGTAAGCCTTCGATAATGCTCTTAGCTTTGGTCTTTGATCATTTATAGAAGTCTGCCAGAATATAAATTTCCTATGTCTTACTGTAGTTTTTGATTCATCCTCCACATCTATTCCATCATCTAGACAATATGGTTTTTTACAGTAGGCATTGGATTTTTAAATTTTCCTGGTGAGACACATTCTCCACAGTAACTGGGAATGATTGGATCACATTTTTCATGGGGACCTGCAAGAGGACCCCAAGGAGTTTCCCAATGGTATCAGGTTGCCCTGTATGTCAGTGTTTGCCATACTTCCTACATATACCTAAAGGCTGAGTTCTCCTATTCTTGCCATTCCTAGAGGATACATTATTTTTAGGAATTCCTTATCTACAATCCCTTCTCAGATGTCATTTTCTACCACAATTAAAGATTTGGTATTTGATGTCTCCTCACACCATTGGAAATTGCTTCTCCTACCCAAGCTTCAGTACTATAGTCAACTGTCTCAATATTCATTGTATGCAAGATACATTCATCCACTGGTGCTGATCTGACCTTTAAAGACCTAAGTATCTTTTTGCAGTCTAAGTTGGTATTCTCAAAAGCCAACGATTCCATTAGTACACATCTAACTTTTGGGTCTGTTACCCCTATTTGTACAGCCTTAGTTAATCTTTTTTAAAAGTCACTAAAAGATTCTCTCTGACCATGCTTAACTCTAATATATGATGCAATACTGTTTCCTATTTCCTGAATCCTGTCCCAAGCATTTAAAGCTGCTGTGCTACATAGGATGTGTTCATTGTAAAGAGCCTGATTCTGAGAATCAGAGTAATGTCCCTAGCCCAGAATTTGATCTTGGGAAATCTCAAGTCCTTTGCTTATCACTGTTGCTCTAAAATGTTTGCTTCTTTTCTCAAATAATATTTCCAAAGCAGCTGAGGTCCATTTTGTAGGACTGCTGAAATCAACTGAATCCAATCTTGTAATGTTGCCTTGTTAATTGAAGCCCACATTTTGACCAGTTCTCTAACAAAGGACAAATGTATTCCATAAGAGACAATTGTTTGTTTAATTCCAATTTGGTGGAGGAAGGTCATTGGTTAATTAATAAAGAAACTGCTTGGCCCTGATAGGTTAGAACATAGGTGGGTGGAGTGAACAGAACAGAATGCTGGGAGGAAGAGGAAGTGAGCTCAGATGCGAGGCCACTGTTCTCCGGGGCAGACGTGAGGAATCTCTGACCCAGGATGGATGTAGGCTAGAATCTTCCTGGTAAGTGCACCTAAGGGTGCTACACACATTAATAGAAATGGGCCAAGCAGTGTTTATATGAATACAATTTGTGTTTTATTATTTTGGGGCATAAGCTAGCCAGGCGGCTGGGAGCAGGGTGGCAGGAATGCAGCCTGCAGTTCCTACTACACCAATTAGATCAGTCATATGTATGGGCTCCCATGTATATTCTTTGATTACCTTAGAGTATTGGGTGCCAGATGCTCTTTCTGATATCACTGGAAAGACAGGTAAAACTATGGGTAAGCTATCCTGGAGTTTGGTATGTACTGATGAGACTACATTTTGTCTTTGTATTTTTTGTCCCTGGCCATCAAATTCGACAAATTGCTTAATCTTTTCAAATCTTTTTATGACTGCCTTTTGTAAAGTCTGGATCTCCTGTCAATTGTTCTTTTCTAATGCCCTCATAGAGAACTCCAAGGTGTGAAATCTGTCCAGTAAAGACATCTCATCCTTGGACATAATTTTTTATAGAATGCATATGACTTAGTTTTGTTAACATGTATATGGCATCCAAAGTGTTTTTACATCTTGGCATCATTTTTGGTGAGGTATCAGAGATTGTATTCCCAGACTCTACATTTTAATAAGGCCACATTACTAATTTTAATGAAGAGAGTGCAAGAAGAGTGACTTATGTCCCTCCTTGGTAGTCTTTATCCAGTGCCAGCTTGGCTACGGAGTATCCATGGGTGCTAGGGATGATGAAACCATGGGATTCTAGGACTTTGACTCTCCACAAGAAGGAAAGGAAATCACAAAACAGAAGCCAGAAGTCATCTTTTCTTCTTCCTTGCACATCAGGGGACACAGACGAGAAACAAGTTCTTTTGATCATTCCAATCGCTTTCTTATTCCTTTTTTTTTTTTTCCTGAGACAGGGTTTCTCTGTAGCTTTGGGGCATATCCTGGAACTAGCTCCTGTAAACCAGGCTGGCCTCAAACTCACAGAGATCCACCTGCCTCTGCCTCCTGAGTGCTGAGATTAAAGGCGTGTGCCACCACTGCCTGGCCCCCAATCTCCTTTCTTTGTTACCCCAAATGTCTGGTTACTATATAGGGCAGAGGGCCCAGTTGACTGTGTACCTTGGATTAAGCCAACATTAGCTGCTTTATTCTCTACTTTGTATTTGTAACTCCTCATTCTGAAATATTTTCAAATAGAAATAACTTGAGGAATTTTACAACAAAGCCCTGCACTCTTCATCCTAGCTCTATCATTGTTAACCTTTCATTGTGTTTAAGTAATTTATTCTCCTTGTAAATACAAGATGTCTGCAAAGTGGAAGAAATATTAAAGACAGCTATCAACATTCATCAGAATTCACAAAAATGCATGGGATTGTTTCTTTAATTCCTCTTATATTGAATCAGTTATAGAGACATACTCAGAGGTATGAGGACTTTTCTTATAAGAAAGCTAATGATCTCGAAAAACCAAAAAAAAAAAAAAGAAAGCTAATGGTGCTTATTATACAGAAAACTAGAAATAGCCTTCATGTTCTCTAGTGAGTCTGGTTAAAGCAAACTGTGTAACATGATTGTTTCTTTTTCCAAATGTTCTTTCATTGGTTTCTGTGGCCATTAGGATTGGGGTCAGGTCAAATCTGCTCAATATATCTGCCACCTCTCTTGAGGACGTTAGTCTTCTCAGTGCTAGGACCCCTTCTGGAGGTCTGACCCCTTTCAGAAAAAATATGGTTATCTAAGACCCGCTCAACCATGGTGAATTCTGAATTTCATCATTCACATCTCACTTACATGTCAAAGCAGAGGTTATTTCATTTGTTTGGTTTTCAAATTTTCTTAAGTGTTAGGCTGATGACCTTAGGAAGCAGCTAACGTTGTGTTTCCTTAGTCCAAGACAGCATCACAAAGACCAGGAAAAAGAAGCACAGGCCATATAAGAAAGTCTACTTAGTATAATATCAAATAACTTCAGACTTAATGAGCACTGTGCAGAATTCCTCTTACATAATCTCACCTTTACCAGCCTATATGTGATTCCTCAAAGCCATATATAGTCATAAGAAAACCTTTGGGGAGCAACAATTCCAGCTTTGTGGTTAGCAATGGCAGTGGAAAGAGTTCTCCTGGCCTGGCTTCTCACAAGCCAGCTTGCAAAACTCTGTGTACCTTTATGGTTGGGTGTGCTCCTGTTCCTTACCAAGAATAATGACAATAAATAAAGTACCACTTCATTTACCATGGAAATCATTTGGTTTTAATACCTCAGATCCAGAAATTCCGAAGTAAAATTAAAATTAAACATGAAATTTCAACCAGGGGTTATCTGAGGTAATATTTGCATATTTCTTATGCAAATGTCACAATGAAAAAAATCATAGATTCTGATATAAAATATTCATACAAAAAAGATATAAAATCAACCACAAAATATATCAATAGTTACACACATTGAAAAATTCTTGAATCAAGAAGCAAACACTCTAAAACATAATATTTATTTAAATGACAATATAGCTTATGTTTGGAGGACAGAAAGGGCTTAAAGTGGACAAAATACAGTTGCTCAGCTGCTTTTATTGACATCAGTACACAACCACTTGGTTCCCTCAAGGACCACATAATTATACCATAAAAACTTTAATTCCATTAAGTTTATTAATATGATCTAAATATGGATCACATAGATAAGGAAAGGAGACATAAAACAAAATTTAACTAGCTAGTACAAATAGACCAAAAGAGTGATAGGTTCTTCAGTTGGTGAAAATTTTATATTGGAAGTCAGTCCATCAACTAATATAAAAATAAATCTATCATAGGAAATATGATTCAGATTGAGCCAGAATGTAACACCCAACGATGAGGAACCTTACAGACCCCATGGCTTCCTGTCTGCTCACCCTGTCTGCTCTGCTTTGGAATCTCATCTAGGCCCCTTCATAGCAAAGGATTTGCAGCCATCTGTATTTTTTTCTTAGCCTACAATCAGCCACCACCATCTCTACATTTATCACAATCTCTTTCTTTTAAGAGCGCTAAAGAGTTTAAGAAAAAAATTGAGCAGAGCAGTACTGCAGAAACAGGGAGATACTTTGATGTGGGTTTGGGTATCAACAGACTCAGACAAGTAAAGAAACAGGAGCGGTACCACCGAAAAGCACTGAGGTCAGAGGTCACAGAGAACACAGGGGCTGGGCAATGTCAGAGGGAGTAGGGCTGTGCTCACACTTGCAAGTTACAACTAGGAAGAAGGATGGAGTACAGAGTAATTCACAAGCATTCCTTTGATGTTGTTGATGAAAAGAAGGATGGGTGTCAGGCTGAACAATGGGTATTGAAATAACACAGAATGTGGAAAAAATGAAAGATTCTTTTCTTTCTACTTGACTCCTTGAACTTTCAAAGCAATTTAGTCGGGTCTGTTTCATTTTACTAATCATAGGCACAGAACATCTGCTTTTATAAGGAAACCCTTGAGAATCCCAGTGACATTGTCCGGGTACCCTGCGGAGGAAAATGGAGGGAGTGTGCGTACTGAAAGTCTCTGTGCTCTTCACACCCGTCTCTTCGGGCCCAACATGAGCATAGTCTTTAACCTGACTTTAAAGGCAGTCTCTGATTCCATACTCTAGCATCACCAAGTACAGCAGTCAGAAGCCCCGGGTGCTCATCATACTTCCAAGAAGCAGAGAACACACGAGCAACCTGAGAGAGAAAATGCCATGCAGAGGAGCAGAAGCTGACATGGCACATACCAACGGTTCTGCTTTATAAGGCCTTTTGATATCAGGAGGTAATGCTGTCATCCCTTGAATCTGAAAAAAAGAATAAAGACAGTCCCTGTGAGCAGCTGTGTAAAAGCCAGGCTGAAGCATGAAGGAGAATGACCCTCACTGCTTATATATTTTAACACTCCACCCCCAGTTGGTGGAACTGCTTAGGAAGGATTAGAAGGTGCAGCTTTGTCGGAGTGTTTTAATCAAGGGGAGGAGGCTTTGAGGTTTCAAAAGCCCATGCTAGTCCCAGTTAGCTCCTTCTGTTTCTCTCTCTCTCTCTCTCTCTCTCTCTCTCTCTCTCTCTCTCTCTCGTTCATCATCTCAGATGATCTCTGAGAAAGCTAACATGATCATGCAGGAAAGGACACCCAGACCACTGATCAATGGATGAAAATCTGAAGCCTAGGTTTCCTCTTTGGGATTCAGCCCAGCTGTGACAACCGGGTTCCTGGAGGGCGAAAAGCAGGGCTTACCGACCACTCCGCATTGTCTGTCTTGGAACATCTCACATTCACGGGCAGGCTAAGGACAAGCTTATTGAAAGAGAGTCCTTCTTTTTTTGTCCATTTAAATTTGTTCATTGCATCCATGAAAGAAAGGTTTTTATATTGCTTCGGGCTTTTGATAATGAAAGGCCATGTCCTGAAATTAAATAATCACAATTGCATTCAGTGCATCATGTGACAGCAGAGTACATTTTGTATTTCCTGTAATTTTCAACATTCTAGCATAAACTTCTTGCCTGCTCATTTTTTAAATAGAAGAATAATTCCATATAAAGCATTTATGAACTCATAGGTGCCTTTCTTTATTCTTTTTCCTTTTTACATGTATTTATTTTATGTGTATGAGTGCTTGGGCTGCCTACATGTATGTCTACCATGTGCAGACCTAGTGCCAAGGGAGGCTGGAACACGGGTCAAATTCCCTGAAAGTGGAGCATTATGGATTGTGTGCTGAGGAACAAACCTGGGTTTCCTGAAAGGCAAGAGATCTTAACTGCTTACTGGGCTCTCAGGCTAACAAATGAAGAGGCTCTTAAAGGAGAGGTCCGTCTTCTTTAGATGAAACTGGTCATTACTTTTACTTTGATTGTCTCAGGTGAAATTATAGGCAATCTTTATTTATATTTTTCAGTTCCCCACACTGATCAAATTTTGTGGCCAGGCAGTTTGTTTTGTTTTTAGAGAGATTCTTTTTGTTCAAATTTCCTTTGTCCTTAAGAATTTCATACACCACACATACAACAAAATACGATCATATACATATATGATCACCCCATGCCCCAACACACCCCCTCCCAAGTTCATGTCTTTTCCCTTTCTTTTGTTTGCAACCCACTAAGTACAGCTAATGCTGTGTATATGTACATGGATGTGGGGCCGTCCATCAAAGCACAGGAATCCAGCAAGTGGTTGCAGAACGCTTTCCCAGGGTTTGAAAACTCCAGCTAACATCGTAGCCTAACCGGTGAGTATTAGTGTCTGAATGGACGACACTACTAATGACACATGAAGAATATTGCAGGTTCTTGGAAGTCACTGTGACAGGAATAAACTTCCCGGTGCCCTGCGGAAAAGCCTCTCCAGGGTGTCCTGCTCTGGTTGCTGGAGGATAAACACAAAAGATTTAGAACTGAATCAGGGACTTAAGTTTGCACTGAAGTCATACGTGGTGACAGCTGCCTACAACCCCAGCACTCAGGAGACAGGGAGATGGGTAAAAAGATCAGGGTCAACCTTTGCTACACAGTGAGTTCAAGAGTAGCCTAGGCTACATGTGACCCTGTCTTAAAAAAATAATTTACTGATTGGGTAGTGGTGGCAGGTGCATTTAATGCCAGCACTCAGGGGGCAAAGGCAGGTCGACCTCTGTGAATTTGAGGCTGGTCTGGTCTACAGAGTGAGTTCCAGGACAGTCAGGGCGGTTACACAGAGAAACCTGTCTTGAAAAACCTAAACAAACAAATAAAGGAATTAACTCAGAAAATTATGTTTTATGCCCAATATACTCTGCTTTGAGGGGAACCTTAAAAAAAAGACACATGATTTTAAATGCCAAAGCAAGAAGAGCTAACATGAAAGTATCTTAGCCAACTTGAAAAGATATTCAAGAGACAGCTTCCCTTCCAGGCTTCAGATTATTGATTCCAAGACAAAGAAAGGTATAATTATTTACACATACAAAACTTTACATTAACTCATTCACAGTTGTTACACGGGATTATCATGAGTAACCAATATGTGTCAGATCCCGTGACAGCCCCAAATGATGACTTAGGGATTGCCAGTAGTCATGGATAATCATGGCTAGCTCCTAAATCCATGGTTTAAATTGTAGTAATAAGGGGCGGCGGGGCTGCGTCCCCAGCACCCCAGCTGCCTGCTCGGCTAGCTTATGCCCCGAAATAATTACACGGACACTGTATTCTTTTAAACACTGTTTGGCCCATTTTCTTCTAGGCTAATTCTCACATATTAATTTAGCCCATTTCTAATCATCTGTGTATGGCACCCCAAGGTGCGCTTACCGGGAAGATTCTAGCCTATGTCCATCCTGGGTTGGAGCTTCATCCCGGGAGCGGGGCATGGCGTCTCTCTCAGGCGTCTGCTCCCGAGAGGAGAGCTGTCGAGAGTGAGCTCAATTCCTCTTCCTCCCAGCGTCCTGTTCTGCCTACTCCTCCCACCTATCTTCCAACCAATAAAATGGGCCAAGGCAGTTCCTTTATTAGCCAATGACCTTCCTCCATCATTAAATAAAGAGTCCTCATGCTCTGTTCACTTGTTGTTGCCACCTTCTTTCTAACCTGGACAGCCCCCTCAATTACCCTGGATGTTATCTCTTCAATAAGAAATACAAACCTTATGAATCTGTGGAAAGTATAAAAGTAATATTTTTGCTGCAAAATTGAAAATTCTGTTTTTTATCTGTTCTAAGAAGTGAGAAAAATAAGAAAAGTGGGTACTATTTTAGTAGGGCTTCTATGCTGTGGTATAAGCCCCTGGTATGCTCTGAATATGCTTTACTCTCATTGGTTAATAAAGAAGCTGCTTTAGCCTATAGCAAGGCAAAATAAGGCTAGGCAGGAAATCCAAACAAAATATATAAAGAGGGAAAAGGGTGGAGTTAGAGGGGGAGATGCGAGCAGCCCCTGGGGAAGCAAGGTGCTAGAGCAGGCAGAGCCAAGAGCCTTGCAGCAAAGTATAAATTGCTAGAGATGGGTTAGTTTAAGATGTAAGAACTAGTTGATAATAAGCCTGAGCTATAGGAAAGCATAACTATTCTGTAGTTAACACATAGATATATTATATTATATATAGTTATATATAATATAATATAGTTTAATATAATATAGTTAGGTTTCTGTGTGTTTATTTGGGACTGGGTGATTGGAACAGAAAAAAACTCCACCTTCCGTCCTCGTTCCCCCCTGTAATTAAAGTCAATATAACTTTGTGGAGTCTTAAATACATTATTTCACACAATCTTTACAGCTGAGTACTGTAATAGGAGCAGCCAGCATCACATTACACTAAATATACAGTGATGTTTTCTAAAATAGCTACAACCCAGAATTGCTACAAAGCAAACCTTGTCTAGAAAGAAGCCCGTTAAATTTGCATATTTTGCCATTCGCTAATAATAATTAGCTAATAATTCGCTGCTAGCTTTTTTACGTGTAAGATAGTGGATATTAACTATTAAAATAACATTTAGCTTTATAGAGACAAGGTATCTATACTGAAAAAAGAAAAAACAACTTAGTAAGTGGAAACGGAGGCGGTTCAGGGGTGGGATGGGAAGAAGAAACATCTGCCTGCAATCTCCTGAAACACCACCAGGGGGCGACTGAACTTTTACTAAGGGCTTTGGTATGATCAGTGTGGTAAATGTGACCTTTGCTGGCCAAAGTGAACACTGTGAGCATTCTGAAGAGCTGACTCTGAAAGTTTTGATTCTATAATAAGCCAGTAAGTTAATATTTATGGAGATTTCGCTCCAAAATAGTGAAAGCGGTAACTCCGTGTGTTGGTAGGGCAGCCAGGGAGACAAGAACACATGTGTTGGAGACGAGGCTCGAGGACTGGGAACCTGAAAATGCAGCACCAGCCTCTCGGAGCCTCTTGTCTCATACTTCTCTCTTCCGTCCCTTCCCTTCGAAATAAATGTCCTTTTGGTGACCTTTAAGCAAAAACCATCCAAGTTTTCTAACAACGCAGCTCAGGTTACTCCCTGGAGAACTGAGGAGAGAGAGGGGGGACCATTGCAAAAGCAAATATGCTAATTATTTGTTTGAAAAGAACTAAGCTTCCTGTCAGAAACAGTAGTGGGATTAAATAGATAAATTAAATTAGTATAAATAAATTAATTAGTTAAAATAACAAATATCCCTGCTATTGCTGGGACTAGGGTTCAGTTAGAAGAATTGAGACTGTTAGAGAAACTAAAATGGTATATCTCGGGCATGTCTACCCAAGACAAACATATATTTATAATAAAATGATATTATAAATAATCACTGAGGTTGATTTGAACAAATTTTGTTAATATTGCCTTAAGTCTGATGGATAATTTTCCTTTGTAAATCGAATTTAAATTCCGAGGTACGTTTTTCTTGTGACAAGCACAGCAAAATTTACTGCTGCCCACCGCAATCTAGAGTGTGCTTTAGTTTTCTTTGCCAAAGGTAAGCAATAATATTTGTAAACTCAGTTCATTCAAGATGCAATGGCGTTAGGTGCGGCATTCCTGTATCATGTAAAACCAGGTGAAAGAAAGTAACGCAGTTGTTAGATTTCAAGTCTGCCTGAACCCCCGCGGCTGTTTCTAAGGTCTTACTGCTAGAGTAGGTCTTGGGAAGAGGAAGAGGTGTGGGGAGAAAGTGGGTAACTTCAGCCAAGAAGCAGGGCCGGGTCCATACAGCTGAATGAATAGCCTTATAGAGTCTCCTTCCATCACACAAGTAAACATATGGTCAAAAATTAGTAATACAAACAAGATGCTCATTAATGGACTTTCACTCCTGGCCGTGTGGTGTAACAGACACCAACTTACTGTGAAAAATGCCAGCACTCGTTAACAAAGCTAAACAGACTGTCTGGGCTAGGAGACTGGAAAACAGGAAGGAGAAAACCATGACCTTGGAGGAAATGAACACTTGTCATAGTTGAACACTCTGTTCACCCAAGAGCTCTGCCGGTGAGTGTGCCCTGGGTCACAATGCAGCAAAGGAGAATTTCCAAGCAATAAACCGACAATCTTAATGAATTAAAGAGACAAATGTCAGAATCAAGGACTCTGGAAGTACTGCAAGTTTCAAAGCAGAGTTCTGCCGGGGAAGTATCAAACAGAGTTCTTTAAGTCTGTATGAGGGGTAACTAAACTCACGTAATGAGACAACCAGATTAAAGATGAAATTGTACAAGGATAGGCAAAGAGGAACTGGGGAACTATTTAGAAAAAAAAAAAACAGCACAAAACTACGATTCTGAGAGCTCCCAGAGCTGGTACACATTCCAGTTCCAGCTAGCCAGAGCAGAGAGTCTTTGCTGACGTCACAGGTATCGAGTGACATCTCAGAGATCCATCTCAGAGACCTAAGAGTGGACCAGGCCTTAGTAGTAAAGGAAAGTGGCCCTAAA